CCGACGCTGAGCGCTTGATCGAGCTCGAGCTCGACGTGCTCTTGCGCTCGCTGGAGGACCGCGCGCCGCCTCGCGCCGCGCAGAGGCGCGACGAGTGCGGGCGCTTTGTTCAAGCGGCAGCCGTGCCAGGCTTTGTTCAAGCGGCAGCCTTGCCAGGCTTTGTTCAAGCGGCAGCCTTGCCAGGCCGAATGCCGGCTATCGACGCGAGCGTGGCGCCGCAGGTGCCTCTGCAATCCCTGCCGGTCGTGCAGGAGGCTGTCCCCTTTCCGACGTCGCTCCCGCCATCGCCGCCCGAGCCGCCAGCGCCGTGGTACGGCACGGCCGTCGGCTTCCTCGCGAGGGGGCCGGGGATGGAGCCCGTCCTCTCGCTCAGCCTCGTGGTCGGCGCGGTCGGCGCCGCCGGAGCCGCATTGTCCGCGCACCAAAGCGAGATGGCGTCCATCTTCCCCGTCTTCTTTGGCGCGGTGTGCCTCAGCTTGGCCGCCTTCTCCGTGTCCAACGCGCTGCTCTGCGGCGACGAATTGGCTCGCGCGTGGGCGTTCGTGATCCCGCTTCACCCTCTTCCGCTGACGGCGCTACTGTGGCTCGTCCCCGCGGACGATCTTCTGCGCGCCAAGGAGAGCATGGACACCTTTCGTGTGCCCGGGACTGTATTAGTTGGGGCAATCGGGGCGGTGACCGCCACCATGCCGCGCCCCCTTCGCTGGAAGTGCATGGTGGCGGCCGGCTTCCTTCTGTCGACTGCCAGCAATTTCGGTGTGGCCACGTACCTACTCGACGAGCGGCTCTCCTTCATTTACGAGATGTTCCCCTACCACCTCTCGACCCTGGGCAGCCTCGCCCTCACCCTCCTCTGCCAGAAGGTCATCAAGGAGTTCATCGGGCAGCCACTGACGATGCTGCCTTGGGTGAGCGTCAACTTCGAGGACGGTGGCGTCAACGAGCGCGTCACCAGAGCCTGCCTGGCGGGCGCATTCGCGTGCATTTGTCTCCTCGTCGTTAGCGGTTGGGCGGCGGGCCAGGACGGTGCGGAGCGTTTCGGCAAGTGATGCGCGGCTGCGGCAACCAATCTGGCAGGAGCGTCGGGAAAAGGAGACGCGGGGTGGGGCGACGGGTATTTCCTTTGTATGTAGGCGCCCAATGGCGGGAGAGTCGCCTTTCACTGGCCTCGCCGCGCCGACGCGGCGATCCTCGGCAAGGCGCGCGCCGGGGAGGCGCGGCCAGGCACGCACGATTGCGCGCCGCCGGAGTGGCTCAAGGCGCTACCGCTCTATGAGGGGCACCCGCTCTGTCTCTTCTTTTGAGTCACACCTGCTCCTTGCATAGGCGCCGTCGCTCTACGAGCTGGGCCTTCACAGCTCACTGCGTTTTGACTCACGGCTGCTCCTTGTGGCAGGCGCTGCCGCTCTACGAGCTCCAGCTCCGCCACGACGTCATTGCCGCCGGAGAGAAGAGCGGCTACCAGTGCACGCCACACCTGATGCTCTACGTGCTACACGAGCCGCTGCGCCGGGAGGAGGGGGCTCTCCACACCTCCTGTGGCGCGGAGAGACGACGCGCGCTCGAAATATCATATCGAGGTCGTAAAATAAAAGCAGCTCTCCCGCTGCGCTGCGCGTGTGCGAGTGCTGGCTCGTTCTCACAGCAAGCGCCACGAGCCCCGTAGCGACGACCCACTGGGCGCGCGGCGGTCGCTGGCGGCGGATCCGCTCCGCAGCTCGGGCCAGGCGAGCCGAAAGAGACCGCCTCCTCCGCGTCGCGAAGCCACTCGGGCTCCATGGGAGGGGAAGTTTTTGCGGATGGTCTGCAGCTGATGGAGGCGGTCCTGGTTCGCGCCCGCGGCGCGGGCGAGGCCACCTCGAAGGAGGACGCCGTCCGGCTCGAGGAGAGGGAGCAGGGCTCGTCGTGCTCGTACGGGGTGTACACCGCCAAATTGCGTCTCCGACCCTCGCTCCGCCTCGCCGCCCTCACCCCAAGCGCAACAGCAGCCTCGCCAAAGGAGAGGGACCTTGGTGTCGGAGGCGGGAGGCATCCCTTGCAGCTCGAACGCGTGCGAGCAGCTCAGCCGTACAGGCCGCGGCACTGCCCTCACTCTGCAGGCGCAGCATCGCGCGCACCGGCACGCGCGCCGCTGCAGCGCAGGCACGCTGTTGTTCCAGGATGGCCTCAACGGCCTCTGCTGCTGCCACCGCAGTGCTTCCTGCGGCGCGCAGCGCATCGAAAGCACCGGCGTCTGCCCTGCTCCCTGGACGAAGCTCGTCCACCTTGGGCGGCCATCTCTGTGGCGGCTCCTCGAGGGCGCTGGTTGGCCAGAGAAAGACAGCGTTCGCCCACGCCGGGTCCGACCCGGCGACCTGCGGCAGCCGACAGAACACGCCTCGACGCGCGCGGTAATTCTCGCCGAGGTAGCTGCCACACTCCACCTCCGTGCCTCCGGGCACCATCACATACCCACCACTGCGCCTCCACGTCCACGTCGCGTAGATGTCGCCCTCCGGCATGCCGCTCATTGCCTCAGGCAAAGTGTTGTTGATCGGGATGCCCTTCGTCCTCAGCAGTTTGGTGATGCAGTAGGGCTCGAAGGGCGGTTTTGGCTGCGGCGCAAGCGGCTGCGGCGCAAGCGGCAGCGGCGCTGGCGGCGCTTGCGGCGGCGGTGCAGGCGGCGCAGGCGGTGCGGATGACGGCGTGGCGCGCGCTGCCCCCACGAAGTCGTTGACGGCGATGATTGCAACGCACGATCCCACCTGCGCCACCACCGGCTCTGATCCGCTCTTCCAGGGGACAAACGACAGCTGCTCGCCCGCCTCGCCCTCCACGCAGATGTATCCGTCCCCGCCGCCGCATCTGAAGACACGGACCTTGAGGGAGAGGAGGCGCGAATGCGGCTGAGCCCAGTCGAGAGCCTGGCCGACCAGGACAGCCGGCGCCCCGAGCGCCTCGATGCCGCTGCCATCGCCAAGAATCTCCTCGGCGACGGGGGCCGCTTTCCGCTTTCCCGGGGGCGGCGCCGGTGTGTTGGGGCGTGCCCCCGAGATCGACGCCGAGGTCGACCCCGAGGTCGACCCCGAGGTCGAGGGCGAGGGTGACGCCGCGGGCGAGGCTGAGGGCTGCAGCGTCTGAAATGCTGGTCGAAGCGGCGTAGCGTCGGGGATGCGCGCGTCGGTTGGGAACGCCGTGGCGTCCGCCTGCTCGCCCGACGCGAGCACCTCAGCGTGCAGTCCCTCGCCCGAGCCAGCGGGCGGCGGAGAGAGCGACGAGGCAGCCGGCACACGGCCGGACGGCGGCGCCGGTGAGGCCAAGTCGCGGAGCGCGCCAGACGGCGGCAGCGACGGGGCGATGGTGAGCTGGGCATCCGAGTCGTCCGGCCGCACCGCCTGCGGAGGAGTCGAGCGGCGCGTTGCGTTCGTGCGCAGTGGAGGAGAGAGATGCACTTTGAGAGGGCAGTGCACGCCAGAACGCTGCGCGGATTTCCAGGCGGGATGCGCAGCGTCATGCCGCTGGAGTAGACGTGAGAGCGGCCAGCGGCGGTGACGTAGAAGAAGCCCACGCCGTTGGCATGCCAAAACCGAATCGAGGCTCCACCCCTTCCAAGACTGAGCACCACCGCGTACTCGCCTGGCCAGCTCGTCG